TCCATTGGATTGATGAATTCAATACGTCATAATCCATAGCTATGTGATTGTCCTTTTGGAGACGACTTTTAAAAGTAAGAGTCACTGCAGGGGATCCATTAATGTTATCCTTCTATGGTTGCGCTTGGCATAGTCATTGTCAACAATTGCACCATAATCCAAAGCTATGTCATTGTGAACAAAGGGCAGCAAACATTGCGTTTTCAGCCTGGTTAGCCATTGTTTTAAAAAAAAATCCCAGACAAAAGGGGGGGCCCCGGCCCCTCCCCTAAATCCGCCCCTGATCATGGTGATCTATGTTGGGTCGATATATTGCTTTTCTATGCCTTTGACCAACAACGTAGTTTCAGATACTAAATTTGGTGGAAGGTTGTATTTGTTTGCATTTTAGCAGTCACCTTTTCCGCTATAAATCCATACAAAAAGAGTAGCATACGTATGGTCGATTCATTTTACAGAACCTCTTCTTTAACCATGCACTTGGCTTTGATAATGTAAAACAATTTATCTCACAATTTACCACTTATCGTTTCACTGTGTTTTATTCCCAGATGACTTCACTCTTCAACGGTGTTGTCGACGCCTCTGTATCGTACTATGTAATCGTACACTATCAACAGTCTCACAGTCTCTCGAAGAAAGTCGAGCAGATATCGATTATGGATCACGTGAAGCCGAATATCTCCGTGACTTTCCAGTACTGTCCCGCCAATTCTGGTTGTCGAGTTGTCTTGGGAGAGGAAGAAAGTCTGAGTATTAAGTTCAGTAAAGGAAGCTTTACTGCAACCATTCAACACGAGAGACGAACTCATCTGGTAGGAAGAGAAATTGTTTTAATTTCTATATTTATTTATTTTTTTGTTATATTGTAATACATTTACTTACTTACATTCATATACGTACGTTAATCACAATAGCAAATAAATATTATTTACGTTACCAAGAGAGGATGATCTAAGAGAAGGATTCCCCGTGCCATGCTGTAAAATTTATTTTTATTTCCTTCTGATCGAGACTCTGACATCACGTTACTCGATTTGACCAATCAGTTAGCGCTCTTAAAATAGCTCAGTATTAAAAACAGATTTAAAAATACCAGTGGAAGAGACACAAGTATGGGGGAATGCTTCTCTTTATAGATCATCCTCTCTTGACGTTACTTACGTTACTTATACTGGAGACAGAACTATGACTAAATTACTTATTAAATATAAATAATAACATATATTCAATTACTTACTTATACTACTTGTAAACTACGAGTAAAAAGGTACAAAGATATTACTCTAATTAGAGATTTATTATCCAACGTTTTCTTTCCCGAAATCCTGCCTTTTAACCGTTTTGGGCGCTGTCGCACGGTCAGAAAGAATAAGAGGACGTACAGATAACCTGTTAAACCGGTCTAAATTGTACTCGTTTCGCGCGATAGTTGTATACTCTACTGAGTGGAGCTGGATAATAATTGTTAATTGTCCTTTCGCATTTCTTTTACAGTCTTATATACTCCTCGTTCCTAAGTCCTCCTACTCCACGGCCTCTTAGAACTACAGTCCAACGACAGAGTCACTCAATTCTTACAAAACTGTGGCAAGGATCATTTCTATGTCAATCCAGCTCGCGGACGGCAGTACCGAGAAGACGTGTTTTTCTCTGACGATTCGGTTCAATGCAGGACCTTTGAACTGCAGGTGCAATGTACTGGGTTCTAGATCCACTTTCTGTGATGAGTTTGGTGGGCAGTGCCTGTGTCGGTCAACTTATGTGGTCGGCAGAAGATGTGACAGATGCAAGCTTGGTCACTCTGGATTCCCACGCTGCCGACGTAAGTGCTATCAAATAAACGGATCTACAATACTGGACATAATGTTTTGGGACACTTCTCATTTTGGACTATTTTCGCTTAGTTCGTTCAAATCTAGCGATAAATAGGGGCTTAAAAAAAATAACTTCCCCATTGATTCCCCCTTTCCTCCCATACAATGTTGAATCTCAGAAACCATCGTTTAAATTTGACATAGTGCATGCGCAACATTGCAGCAGGGGAGAGGGGATAACACATACAATCGATTTTCAGGCAAATTTACAAAGTGTCCCAAATTTATTGGGTAGGATTTTAGCTCGGTAGATGTATCAGCAACGAGGATATCTTTGGCGAATCAAGTCCTTGTAAAAGCTGTCGACCAGTCTCCGATTCTTGTTATCCAATCAAAAAAAGCGCAAACACTCGTAAGAATTCCGAGAGCTCTCACGTCAGCATGGCCCCATAAGGATACGTCCCTGTTGCTTAGCAACTTCTCTGTCGAAAACCGCGGGCTCAGTCAATTCTCGGAGACGAGATTTTGACCGAAAAGATTACTTGCTTCCCTGATTGTAGTTCTCATTCCTGTTTTACAAAATACAAGATAAAGATGGATATAGAATACAGGCAAAAAGCCGATATTTACTTTTTTGCCTATCGCTCTACGATATTACTGGCGTTCTTCACTTGGTAACCCTTCTTTATATGCCTCGTGTCCCTCCCTCCCACTTACTTGGCCACTCTCAGTCAAATACTTTCGGCCTTCTCCAAGGCTTACAGGCTTTGGTTTTATTTTGATGGGAGAGGAACGGAAAAAATAAGCGAGGAGGAGGGTGGAACGTCCGATAAAAGTATGGAGGAGGAGAGAGAGAGACGGCCTAAAAAGAAGGAAGGAGGGAGAAAGGGCGGAGATAAAGGGATATGAGTTTATATTTAACTGTGTGTTTGTCCCCTCTATTTCCTAGGTTGTGGTTGTCATGAAGTGGGATCTGTTTCCCTCTCTTGTACTTCAAACGGACGGTGTCGCTGTAAGCCTGGATTTGGAGGATACAAGTGCGATAGATGTGTATCGTCTAGTTATTATGGCTTCCCAGAATGCAAGAGTAAGTTCTCGCATCCAGCAAGCTGAATAAAAAAAACTTGATACAAGATTGTTCTGGTCATAGTCAATAGAGCGAAATGGTTATGAAGCCCGGGAAAGTTCTCTGTTATATCTTTTTGTTCGCTCAGTTTTGGCCTTGACCGTGCACAAAACCTGACAAATACAATAGGTGTTTACGTGTGTTCAAGCAACTAACCAATAGAAACATTTCAGTTACGTAATTCATGCATAGTGTATGAGCGCAAAACAAAAGATTGTGCACGGTCGTAAACCTTCAAACTTACGTCTTGCCATCTTTGTTTGCTCCTTTGAAGTTTTCCGGGCTTCATAACCATCTCCCTCTTTTGACCATGTTCTGGTGCATGAATGTAATACTTTAATGTTAAACTCAATATTCTTTAATAGTGTATCCTTTTCTGTCCTATAGCCTGTGCCTGTAACAATCTTGGTTCTCTAAGCACGTTTTGCCGTTCAAGAGATGGCCAGTGCCAATGCAGGAGGAATTTCCAAGGCCAGAAGTGCAATGAATGCAGGATTGGTTTCTACGATTTTCCAAGTTGCAAGGCGTGCGACTGTAACCCAGCGGGAATCAAATTGCTACCTGGAGAAAAGGCTGTGGATCTGTCAACAATGTAAGAATTCATATCAGCATCGAAATTCTCCTTGGCACTTTCCATATATTTTCTGTAATTTGCATCAGGGAACGAGCGTGTAAATTGCGAGGCTCCCGCGCGAAGCTTATCGACACTTCGCGCCTCCAAATTCTCGCGTCACGCATCGAAATCTAGAGAGAAAAATGCGAGATTGTTTTGCAGTCTAACTAAACCATGCTACAGGATTGCGGATAACGTACACTTGCAAAATTCAATTTTGAATGAAAGAGAGGGATTAAACAGAAGGATTAAAGACTTGATAATTTTTAGACGGCTTTCGAAAATCCTGTGTTAGGAGTCCTCCTCTTTGACAACTATGGAATCATGATGCCAATAGTGCAAGCGCACTCCTCCATTTCATCTGTCCGCCGCTAAGGTTTCCACTTCCTCTCATCGATACCTGCCGCAGCTACTAGGTCGCGTGAAATGGCATTTCACGCCATCTAGTGCGGCATCTGCCTCTCCGGCGCTTTCCTACGATGTCCACTGGGCGCCACTAAAGTAGTGCTTTAAGGAGGGTTCAGGATGAGCTCATTCGGCACACATGGCCAATGGCACACACGGTCCGGCTCCGTAAAGGCTTGGTTTTCAACAAGCGACGCAAGCTAAGCGCAAGCACTGGAGCCCATATAAACACTGAGCACGCAAGCGCGAGTACGTTTGCGTTGCCAGTTTTTGTCATGGACTCTTATGCTTGCGCTTATGCTTACGTGAAAACCAGGCTTAAAAGGAGATGCTAGTCTGTCAACTTCAGCGTGTTTCCCAGTCTCCTACGCAGCCGTTTATTTTTGGAGAAGCGTTGCGTGACGACCCAAACAACGGCTGTGTAGGAGCTGTTCCTTGGTACTGTTGAATACTTACGTGTCACTGTTCTTCTTTCCTTAGACTCGCTGCAGGTGCAAAGATAACGTGGTGGGTGACGATTGTGACAAGCTGCAAGGCATTTCACTATAATCTCCAAATAAATAACCCAGTGGGTTGTCAGTCATGCGACTGCAACATCAACGGAAACTCTGGGATCGATCAAAACATGCGAACGAGAAGACTGGACAATGCTTATGCAAGAGTCACGTGACTGGTCGGCAGTGTGGACGGTGCAAGGAAGGCTACTACAGTCTGACAGGCCCAAATGTATTTGGATGCAAAACGTGAGTATATAGCGCAAAATTCACGAACAAATTTATTTTGGGAAATAAATGAGAAAGATGTTAATCAGTCAGTGAGTGACACAAGCTACTTCCCAACGCATGCGCGGAAGGTTCGACTTCTGTTGGAAGAACTCGCAATTGTTTCTTCCGAGTAGCTTGTGTCACTGACTGATTAACATGTTTCAAGTTATTTTTAAATACTTAGAATCCAATCGGATTTTGAATTCCCTGCTCAATGCATAAGTTTGAGGTAAACATAATAACCGAAACAAGTAAGATAGATTGAAAACTTATCAGTAAAGGTGGTGTATTAGGTACCGAAGTAGTCGTGGACTAGAAATCCATTGGGGTCTCTCCGCGCAGGTTCGAATCCTGCCGACTACGAAGACTAGAGGCTCCTTATTTTGATAATACACACTTTTCCAATCTGTTTGGTGAGATAGAAAACCGCGAAGAGAATAACAATTTTTTTTCAAAAATCCCAATCTACAATTAATGTCGCTCACAGGGTGTTTTCGCACGGTTTACATCCTGTAAATTCGTTTAAAATGGTTATATTTTCTTACATTTGCAGTACTAGTACTTAGAGAGGTTTCGATTCATTTTGGAAAGTATACTTATGAGTTCGCTTGTGGCTTTGCGTTTGAGCCAATCACAGCAAACGTGCTGTATTTTCAACCAATCAGCAGCAAAACTGGCTTGCGGCGTTTCGCGCGCTTGGTGCCGGTTGCATTATTTTGCTTACCTTCTGCCTCTGTTTCAAAACGAGTCCAAGTGCATAACCTTTCATATGAAAATGAGTTTTACTCACAAGTTCATTCAAATGCAAATCAAATTCATTTTCATATGAAAGGTTTTGCACCCGGACTCGTTTTGAAACAGAGGCAAAAGGCAACTGGAAATGAGTTTTCGAGCTCACGCTAGTTTCTGTTCCTGAGAAATAAGAAGTAAAAATTTAATTAGAACCTTCTATAAGTCAGAAAAAATAATCAATAGCAGAGCGAGGTTTTGATCCTCGGACCTCTGGGTTATGGGCCCAGCACGCTTCCACTGCGCCACTCTGCTACTGATGAGTATAGCCTTAATGTATTTGAGATTTAACTGCTTGTCATCGGTTGATGCAGAGCTCGATCTGGGTGATGGTACTTACATCGTATCAGTGGAATTAACTTGTTCCATCTTGTATATAATCATCTCTTGGACAAGGCGAGCTTTTGATCCTCTGCGCGTTTCCACTGTGCCCTCTGCTTGAGGCTGACTTTTAACATTTTTGTCTGTGCTCTTACATTTAGAATCCAACTATATGTTTTAGTATTTCAATAAACAAAAAGGTACAATGAGTTGTAAAGAGCGATCTGATCTACATATACTGCTCGTTTCCATGGCCTTGGTTAACTCTTCGTCACCGCCTCTTGAGTCCTTCTGCTCGGCTTTGAGTAATCAAGGTAGTCGTGGCCGAGTGGTTAAGGCGATGGACTAGAAATCCATTGGGGTCTCCCCGCGCAGGTTCGAATCCTGCCGACTACGAAGACTAGAGGCTCGTTATTTTGATAATACACACACTTTTCCAATCTGTTTGGTGAGATAGAAAACCGCGAAGAGAATAACAATTATCACACTTGATTTTTGTTTTAAATCTCAGCTACATTTTATGTCACTCTTAGGGTGTTTTCGCACAGTTTACATCCTGTAAATTCAGGAGAAATTCAGGAAATTCCATTTTTATCGTTAAAATGGTTATATTTTCTTACATTTGCAGTACTAGTACTTAGAGAGGTTTTCGTTTCATTGTGGAAAGTATACTTATGAGTTCGCTTGTAGCTTTGCGTTTGAGCCAATCACAGCAAACGTGCTCTATTTTTCAACCAATCAGGAGCAAACCTGGCTTGCGGCGTTTCGCGCGCTTTTGCTTCCCGACTTCTGATTGGCATCAAATAGGCCATTTCCGAGTTGCCTCCTATTGAGCTCACGCTAGTTTCTGTTCCTGGGAAATAAGAAGTAAAAATTTAATTAGAAACTTCTATAAGGCAGAAAAAAAATCAATAGCAGAGCGAGGTTTTGATCCTCGGACCTCTGGGTTATGGGCCCAGCACGCTTCCACTGCGCCACTCTGCTCTACGAGAAAGAGGACTAATATAAATGATTTCATATCGATCGATAAAACCGTAGACTTGCCTTTCGTGATATCTATTAAAAATGTATGTCTTTTCGAGATCTGTTGGCCAGATTATCTGTCTTGAAAAATGAATTTTACTTTTCCAGAGAGGTCTGATCCAAATTAATTCACGTCTTCCAAACCTTTCATACATACGAACGGTTTTGCACCTGTTATAATTTTGAAACGAACGACTAAAGGCCATTCGGAGATGGACTAATACATAACAGACCAGTTTACAAAAAGATGAATCTAAAATAATAATGCTAAAAGGCATATGATGTCCACCAAACGCAAAAGGAATGGAAACATTTAGCAGAGCGAGGTTTTGATCCTCGGACCTCTGGGTTATGGGCCCAGCACGCTTCCACTGAGCCACTCTGCTACTGATGAGTATAGCCTTAATGTATTTGAGATTTAACTGCTTGTCATCGGTTGATGCAGAGCTCGATCTGGGTGATGGTACTTACATCGTATCAGTGGAATTAACTTGTTCCATCTTGTATATAATCATCTCTTGGACAAGGCGAGCTTTTGATCCTCTGCGCGTTTCCACTGTGCCCCTCTGCTTGAGGCTGACTTTTAACATTTTTGTCTGTGCTCTTACATTTAGAATCCAAACTATATGTTTTAGTATTTCAATAAACAAAAAAGGTACAATGAGTTGTAAAGAGGGATCTGATCTACATATTCTGCTCGTTTCCATGGCCTTGGCTAACTCTTCGTCACCGCCTCTTGAGTCCTTCTGCTCGGCTTTGAGTAATCAAGGTAGTCGTGGCCGAGTGGTTAAGGCGATGGACTAGAAATCCATTGGGGTCTCCCCGCGCAGGTTCGAATCCTGCCGACTACGAAGACTAGAGGCTCGTTATTTTGATAATACACACACTTTTCCAATCTGTTTGGTGAGATAGAAAACCGCGAAGAGAATAACAATTTATCACACTTGATTTTTGTTTTAAATCTCAGCTACATTTTATGTCACTCTTAGGGTGTTTTCGCACAGTTTACATCCTGTAAATTCAGGAGAAAATTCAGGAAATTCCATTTTTATCGTTAAAATGGTTATATTTTCTTACATTTGCAGTACTAGTACTTAGAGAGGTTTTCGATTCACTTTGGAAAGTATACTTATGAGTTCGCTTATGGCTTTGCGTTTGAGCCGATCACAGCAAACACGCTGTATTTTCAACCAATCAGGGGCAAAACTGGCTTGCGGCGTTTCCCGCGCTTGGCGCCGGTTGCATGCTTTTGCTTCCCGAGTTCTGATTGACATCAAGTTCGTTTTGAAACAGAGGCAGAAGGCAACTCGGTAATTAATAGCCTATTGAGCTCACGCTAGTTTTCTGTTCCTGCAAAGTAAACATTTAATTAGACTCTTCTATAAGTCAGAAAAAAATTGAATAGCAGAGCGAGGTTTTGATCCTCGGACCTCTGGGTTATGGGCCCGGCAGTACGCTTTCACTGCGCCACTCTGCTACTGACGAGTATTGGATTAATGTATTTGAGATCTAACTGTTTGTAATCGGTTGATGCAGAAGACTGTAACTAGTTATAGACCTCTGGGTGATGTTAATAACAGTACTTACATCGTATGGAATTAACTTGTTCCATCTTGTGTATAATCATCTCTTGAACAAAGCGAGCTTTTGATCCTCGGCGCGTTTCCACTGTGTCCCTTTGATTGAGGCTGACTTTAAACATTTTTGTCTTAATTTAGAATCCAACTTCATGTTTTAGTATTTCAATAAACAAAAAAAGGTACAATTAGTTGTAAAGAGCGATCTGATCTACATATACTCCTCGTTTCATGGCCTTGGTTAACTCTTCATCACCGCCTCTTGTGTCCTTCTGCTCGGCTTTGAGTCATCAAGGTAGTCGTGGCCGAGTGGTTAAGGCGATGGACTAGAAATCCATTGGGGTCTCCCCGCGCAGGTTCGAATCCTGCCGACTACGTTTGGTGGAGGGGTAGTTACCTATCACATACTTTTTTTTAACTCTTTTCTCTTGTTTTGCGTTGATTAAGCTTTTAGTCTTACCTTCATTTTGGCCAGTAAATGATAATTCGAATAATTTGTAAGAAACGTTTGTGTCACGCACTCTCGCTTTGATGATTTTTTACAGGTTGCTCGTGTAACGCAGGTGGTTCAATCAGCCCGTCGTGTAACGCAATCACCGGAGAATGTGCATGTTTACCAGGTGTGGGTGGAGCCCAGTGTGACAGGTTGGTTATAGTTGGTTGGTTGGCTCGAGTTTTGTATACTGGTATCAATACCTTTTATCCATTTTTCTGTTTTTTTTTTTGCTTGAAGAATTGTTAACAAATGCTTTGTTCTGACGAAGATGTAGCCCTCGAATGTTTGAATAGCCTGTGTAACAGACTCCATACCAGTCGCCGGCAACTGAGAGGATGGCAAAACGACGTCTGTTACAGCGATCAGAGTGAACAGCGGTTAACTAATCTAGTAGGCACTCGTCGTGGTTCAAGGCAAATCCACGAATCTGATTGGTTGTCACATCGTCTCTCATCATCTTGGATCCATCTTGGATCCATCTCGGCGGATCCATGTTGGATCTGGATTGGATTTAGATCAGAATAGGATTTGGATCCGGATTGAATTGGATCTGGATTTAGATCCATCTTGGATCCATCTTGCATCCATCTTCAGGGATCCAACTTAGTTCCATCTTTCATTTCAAGTAATTTTTCTTTTTGTTTATCCTCATAGGGTTTTATCAGATGGTTATTACTATCCCACTCTCCATCAGTATAAAATCGAACTGGAGGACGCTCTCACTGCCGAGAACGACAGATCAGCTTACTTCAGATATGATGAAAGCGAGTTCCCTGGATTTTCTTGGCGAGGCTACGCAGTTTTCTCCCAGTCTCAGGTAATTGAGCGAGATCGTTGGCGTGTCATTCATTAGTAAGATCTCGTGAGAGGAGGATAACTGATTTCGATTTGTGACACGCGATAAAGGTCAATAACGGAAATGATATCCGGAAGAGGGAACATCTCTATATTGTGACCATGTTGTGAGCTATCAAACATCGAACATCGTCCCTCAGTAAACCCTAGGAACGTACCTCTCCTGAACTAAGTCTGAAAGAATAGTATAAACTTCATATCGAATTTTGCTAGAGCAATTTTCAATTGACTGCATCTCGAAAGGTTACTTTGGTTTGGTTTGTTTTGCGTTTGCTGAGCTTTGCAATTGGCTCCAAAACTTC